ACATCGCAATAATATAATGTTATATAGATATCCCAGTAAAACTAGTCCTACCAAGCTAGAAGTGTTTAATCTTATTAATGAATCATTAGAATTACATGAAGTTACAATGGATGATATAATAGCGATTATTCCAATAACTAAATCACAGTATCCAACAATTAAATTAATTATTAAAAATACTCAAATAAGAGATTACATATATTCGAGTTTTATAAAAATGAAACAGCAAAACCTGTCGAATGTATGGAAAGAAACTCAAATCTCACAGGACCTTATTAAAAGATCTAGATTAAGACGTAAACAATTAATTCCTTTTTTAAGCGAGTTAAGGAAAGCAGGTAAATATCCAAAACTCCGAGGTGACACTATACTATTGGGCAATTATTCTTTGACGTATAGCTATGTGTTGGAGGGGCTGGTATACTTGGATTCCTTTATTCCGTTTATTATTTCTGAGAATACTCCGCAATGATACATTGTTAATTTAAACACTTCTATTCAAGACTCATGTTTTGTGGAGACTCAAATATTAAGTCCCTTGCCTGCTGCACATAATAATAATGAAAGCTTATACGATATTATGTCCAATCAAAAAGTCCCAAGAAATTATATATACCCAAAAAAGAAATAATTACATTATAGTTCATATATTAATTAATAAATTAGAAATAAATACTCGACAAATAAAATTTTGGTTACAATTTTGATATATATTCCTCCCGAGCAACAGCTAATATTATTTGAAGTATTTTGTATGTACAGTACGAAATTTTGAGAAATACTTTTCCTTATGTTATTATAACTGGAGATTTAAATGCTCGTATTGCACAGTCCATGGTTTTGCTATATAAAGGACCGAACGTTATAATCTAAAACATTCGTAAATTCAAAGATGTTAAACAGAATAAAATAGATTATGACCTTCAAAAATTAACGACTCAAGCTCAACTATATATTTATAATGGCAGAATTGAAGAGGTCTATCCTTCTGTATTTACTTATGTATTCACTATGGGAAGCTCTACAATCGATTTGCATATATGTTCAGTATATTTAGTACATTTATGTTTGGAAATTCAGGTGATAGATTGTGATTTATTAGTCTATTTTCATGTTAGTTCTTACTTTGGTTTGAAAGATTCGTATCATATTGTTTGTGATATACCGAAGTATCAGATAATTGTCTACTAATATCAACGATATCAAATCTTTTGAAGAACTGGATTATCAATTCGCAATTTAATAACGAAAACAGCTCCTGGAATGGATATAATTACCATTAAATTTATTAATCTTTTTCCGCCAGCGGGTAGGCAAGTTCTTCCTGATCTTTACAACCATTTTTATAAAATATTTATTATATTCTCCTTGAGTGCACAAAGTTTGAAGAAGCGCATAGTAAATTTAAATTAAAAGAATCTTATGATTTAAATTAAGAAGAAAATTTCAGAACTAATCTAGAAAAAATTTTGTTATGTATGATGTATAATATTCATAACTTTTTTGTTCATATTCTAAAGATTTTGAAATATGATAGTGTAGATTGAATGTTTAATATGTTATGTTTATCAAATTTTATGTAACAAGATATTTAAAAAAAATGTTAAATAAGTATTAATTGTATTTTTGTAATTCTCTAAAGCCAACCCCCTGTAACAAGACTTTTCTTATTACAATAAAGCATTTGTAATAATAATTAAAATAACTGTTAGATAGATAAAAGTCGAGACCACATATGGGAAGCTTAAGGGAGGGAGACCACAACTAACTACAGGTACTCTTCACTTTACGACCTACCTACTTAACAACCACTCGCACTTACGATCAATCGAGTTTCGATCTGCAATTCGGGAAATCCCCTTTCTCAGCTTGAGTGCCGATTGGTGACACGCTCACTGAGCGTAGTGTAGGCTTGCTATGGACTTTTTTAGTCAGTTTGATGTAATTTAAAAAATTGCGGGCCTTGCCAATGCGCTTAATTTAGATGTTGAAGTGGAAGACATTGCTTAATTAGTGGATTATGCCGATAGAGCGCTAACAAATGAAAATTTAATAGAGTTAGAAGCGATGCAGTATTTGGAAGAGGAAGAAGACGAAAGAACTAAAGAAGTAAAAAAGAAATTCACGGTAAATGGGTTAGCTGGTGCGTTCTCCAAAATTAATGCGGCTATGGATCCTAATACTGAACGTTTTAACATAAAGTTGAACGTGGGATGAATGAACTTTTGAAGTGTTATAAAGAAATTTATCAAGAAAAAAAGATTACAACGCAAATCACAGTTACGAGTTTCTTTTCGACTGTTACATCCAAGACCTCCGCCCTTGAAGGTACAACTTTTATTTCATCGTCGTCATCTCCTTTACCTGGAAAAAAACCTCTACAGATCCAGATAACCAAAATAACAAATGATAATATATACATATGCGTGTCTTTTTATGAATAAATTTGAAGTTTGTTTTATAATTTTTATAATTTTACAACGATCCTATATTCCTGGCGCAAGCTCATCGCTTATCGACCAATTCGCTTAACGACGTAGTCGTAAGAACGGAACTCGGTCGTAAAGTGAGGAGTACCTGTATATACGAATGTCAAGTCTAGACCAGAAGTCACACGATTTCAATTCAAATATTTTCAATAGAATGGAGTTATATAGATGACCAGAGTGACTCTGTTGTTATCAGGAAAAGTATGATGTACTGGGGCAATACACTATTAATTTGAGATCGAGAGGGTATACTGTATTTTAAATTAAATAAATTAAAAATATGGTTAAAAATTGCAGCCCAGCATTGTGAAGATGTCACAATTATTTTTTCTCGTTTATATGTAATATAATGTATAAATTTACTATAAATATGAAGTTCAAGATAGATTTATGAGGCACTTTTGGTAACTTATAATATGTCAATTTTTCGATCTTTCTTAAAATTTGATCGTTTCTATCCAAAATAATTAATTTTAAAATATAAAATTAGTAAGATTGTATGTTTAAATATTGGAATTAAACCGTGCATAAAGAAATACTGTTCTTATTTCCAACGAATTGGGAGCAACTATAACATGATTATGTATTTGTCCATAAGATATAAAACTATTTTTGTTATTTAATTAAAGAAAAATAACCTTATTTTATCTTTCAGAAGAAATATTAGACATTATTTCACTTCATCATAATTATTTCGTGGAAAATGGTGGCACACATACATTGGAATGTCGAATATCTTCAAACGCAATTGGAAGAAAAATATATTTCGGTAAATTTAAGGATATCAAAGGATATGAAGGATATCAAATCCGCAGAGGTAATGTAATAAATAACTTTACTCTAAATATGATTTTTTATGTTAGAAATTATATTGGTTAATTTAAGATCAACTTTTAACCGCTTAGCAATCTGGATGTGATAGCATATACTGTGATGATATATTATTAATTATTACTTTTAACTTATCGGAAAACAATTATTATTTTAACAATTTTGTTCTTTATTAACTAACCTAACATTTTAAATTGTTTATAACTGATATAGCTTTTGCGTTTTTTTTTCACAATTTTTTAAAAAATTAATTTCATTACGAAATATAATAATGTACAAAAACGACTTATGTTATTTTCAGGTTCGCATATTTATTATCATTATTCCTGGAATGAGTTAGGGGGTTTTTGGTGTAAACCCGAACGAAGCATGCTCTCCGGTGTCCTTTCACATTCAATGTGGAAATATAGTCAGTATATTATTATTAGGGATTATAATTCACTTTATTTTGTAACATTATTCGAATTATTAAATTACAGCTGTACTTTTTCCGACTTCCTTTACGATAACTAAGAATATCGGCGACCAGGCAAAAATAAAAATGAATACGGTCTCAAACTTTCGGTATGTGAATTGGAAGAAGAACGAAGTGACGTATAATTCCTTTCGTGGTGAAAAGAACAATTCATATATAAACTTTCCTTCCTTGGAAATTGGTGATGCAGGATTTTACAGTTTGAATAAAGATTATCATTATTATAGTCGTGGAATTACCAGACTAATAGTTCGTGGTAAGTTTAACAATTTTATAATATTGTACAGCTATAAGTGTGATAAATATAACGTTAAACAATACATTCAAATATGTCTTTACATAAATTCAAAGGAATTATTTATTTACATAATATAGTGAATACCGACAGAGCTTTAAATAAACTAAAAAATGTTCTTCGTAAGCCAATATCAGCGACAGTTTAAAACTAAATGGGTGCTAGGAACAAGAATTATTAAATTGAACAATTAACTTTTATTGCATTCTATTACAAAATTATTTATTATAAAAATACTCTTTGTTATTAAGCGTCAAAGAGTTCATATCTTTGACGCTTAATAACAAAAAGTATTTTTATAATAAATAATTGCATGAAAGTCGACACTTTCATCTTTTGAATATATCTTTTCTCAGAGTTAATTATATTTTCCAAAATACGTAATTTATGCAAAGGATAAGGTTATACCGAGCATTTTGACACCAAAACAATTAAAATCGAACGTGGGAATTTTGTTTAAAAATTCGGACAAAAAGTGCAAACGTTACCCCAGTAGTCTGGGCTTCTCCAGGCAATAATAGAGAGGTTGAGGCCGAGGTTTTAAACGAGAAAACGTGTACGTCGGACGTTCAGCGCCGCTTTCCCGTAAGCCTAGAAGTTTGACAATGGTGTTTGGAATGTCGAGCATGATTCCACTAACTATCCAAATACCATTGTCAAACTTCTAGGCTTACGGGAAAGCGGCGCTGAACATCCGACGTACACGTTTTCGCGTTTAAAACTTCGGCCTCAACCTCGCTAATAAATAAGTTAGCTGTCATAATCGTTGACTTAAACCCATTAATGTAGTTATTAGACTTAATTCGCGATTTTAAAATATTTAATGAAATGACTTGAAGGGGGAAAATATCTTGTTACGGTTTAAAAGCAGGCATATGGTAGTTTTTTTTTTTTTTTTTTTATTTTTCACGTGTTTTGATTATATAAAGAATATAGACGAATGTGATAGTGGAGACTCTAACGCGATATTTGCATAGCCTACCTACTGATTGGAATAATACCGAAATTATTCACAGCAAAGATTACATTAATAAATTTCCGCAAAAGATAAGTATATCCTGAGATTTTAAGAACATACCTTGCATTTTGAATCGTTGTTGATAGTAAACCATCATCTTTAGATTAAATTAAAATCCATAGATTATCAATGTATTTTAAATGAGTATTTAATTAATTTTCAGACGTCAAGTTATAATTATAAATTATACTAAACCATTAAGTAATTGAGGGATTGCATCCCAAAACTCGATCAGTCTACTTCCGGTCGAATTCAAATAATGGCAGAAAATTGACTCCTCGTCTTTCTGAAATAAAACGACAGATTCAAAACGAAGGCATTCATTAAAAAACAATGATAGAAAAAAACAAGATCGATGAAAATTTTAGTGCACAAAATTTCATAATTTGTGGACATACATTTTTGGTCGTGATTCCTGTTAAGTAACATTGTAGTAATCTTTTTTTCTTCTTTTTGAATATGAAATCTGAATACAGAATCATTCTGATTGTGTATGTTTTAGTGCTCATAAGGTGGAAAGAGTAGAGGAGAAGGTGGTATTATGGAACACTGCGGGTATTATGGAACCACCCCATTTCGAACTGATAATAAAGGCGAACTGTAGCGGAATGTGGCCGAACTGAACTAGGCAGACATCCATAGCAAGGGGAAAACCCGTTTTACTTCACTTAAATGGTTGTCCGTATTTAATCAGCAAATTTGTTTTTTTCAAAATTCGCAAGTTTTGAATGCTAAGTGAATTTAATTATTTTTAAAATATAAATCGTGTAGTTGTAGGTTCACTGGTGCATGTATTCCGTTCCAGAGACTTAGGGGTACATATTAATCTGTGTGATTTTCACGTTTTTAAAGTTTGGTGCCGACAGGAATTAAGTTAACCCAAGATGGAGATGCGTGAAATATGGACCCCATTGGTGCTTTTAATATGGAACCCAACTCCCCTGGTGTTCAGTATTACCAACAAATTCAAACCATAAAATAATGTTTTTACGTTTTATTTTATTTATGAAAACATTTTTTTAATTTAAATACTATCTTAACAAGAAATAAAATGTAAGATAACAATCGAAATAAACATTTTTTTTCATGAAAAAAAATATCGTCTGCTTACAAAATAGCGAAACTGAGCATGCGCGAAGTGACAGTATCGTCTGGTAAAGTAAATAGTCTACAAGTAAGTTCAAACTTTTATGTTTATTTATTTGAAAAATAACAATAAATGTAGCAGTTGTGATAAATGGGCACACTGTTCTTGTGCCAATATTGAAGAAAGCGGTAGTTTAACCATTTTAATTTGTCCTTCTTGTAGTCTACAGTCTATAAAAATAATATTCCCATCTTACCTCATAGGTGGGGTAAGATGGTGCATTTACATATAGACTAATTTTAAAATATTAAATCATTTTTGCGCTAAAATACATTGGAGTAAATGATTTTGTAATTATTTAACATTCTTTGTACTTTCCTATTTGTTTTTGGCTACATTAAAGCATTTCTTGAAAATTTACAGTAAGGTTCCATATTACCACCCGATTTTCTCTAAGCCTACTTTCTGACTTTTTGTACAAAAGACTTCAAAAACCATACTTATATTACACTAACAAACAAATCCAATTAGGAACATTTAGTTTAATAGTTACAAGTACTTTTTGCATAAAAATTGTGGGTGTAGTTATGATACCTTGTTTACAATTCACTAAAATGTAATTGGGGTTCCATAATACCACCTTCTCCTCTACTTTTAAAACTATATATGGTATATGTATTGCAATGATTCTTAATATAATCCAAATGTATAAATAGGAAAATTTGCCAAAATCATTAATCCATTTTTATGAATTTTTGTCATATCAGTTTAAAATAAAATTTGAAACAAATTTCAGTTTGTAAAGATGGAATTTATGGTCCTCTTTGTGAACATCAATGCCCAAATTGTTTAAATGGAGGAGTATGTCATGATTTAACTGGCGACTGCATCTGTCCACCAGGATTCAATGGAACTCTCTGTGAGAATGGTAAAATCTATTTCATTTGTATATTTTATCAGTTAAAAATTTTACGTGTAAGAATAAATATTTCAAATGAAAACAGGTGTACATTTATTTAATTAAGTAATTTGTAATGTATGAATGAAAGAAGTTCAGATGTAATCTTCGCAATTAAGTGCGAAGATTACATTAAGTAATAAATAAGTAATCAATTAATAAGTAATAAATCATGCAAATTACGAAAGGTACATGTACTGTACTTTGTTATACTAACAAAGTCAAAAAATGCCTTTATACAATAAATATTAAGATGCAATTATGTTACAATACAGTTATGTTAATAAACGTAATACACCTATATAATATATTTTATTTATCAAGTTCTGTTTACATGTTTTAGTAATTATCATTAATAATATCATTTTAATCAATTTGTAATTTCAATTGCCGTGTAATATATATGNAATGAAATGCCATTTTAATAAATATCAAAGTTAAATTTTTAAATAATGATTTTTGAAGTTATAACTTGATGATGATTTTACAAAAATATTCTAAATACTTATAGCACTATACCTTATTAATTGTACAGTACATTACGAAAAATAATTTATGTAATAAAAGTTTTTCCTTTAACAGAGTAAAAATTAAACACAAAAAATAAGAAAAAAAAACTCATTAATTTGAACCTGCACTACTGTGAACTTCACTTAAACTGAACTAAGTATTTATTTCACTGCTAAATGTTCCAGCAACAAAAAATAATCAGAAACTATCTATTTTTTAAAAAACATAATGAACTTATAAAATTGATGTTTTTGCATTTTATCATAAATATATAATTACAGTCAGAACACTAATGACTTCTTGAATCTACAATAACATTTTTATTTTTATGAATATGAATTTGTTAACAATTTTAGGTTCTTAAAATTTAGCAATTTTAAGAAAAAAAAATTACGTTTACGTCATTTCACATGACACGACAGAGCACGTTACAAGTTCGTTTCCTTTGTAATTAGAAATAAGGCTCGAGAAACAACGGCAATCGATAGCTTTATTCGAAGGAAACAAAAGAGCTATGCATTACTGGAGAAAATAGCATTAATCCTTCGAATAATGCTATTTTTCAAGCCTTACTTTTAACTAAAAACGAAACAAAATTGCAATGTATTTTCTCCTGATTGTCGTGTCGTGTGAAATGTAAACTTCTCTTACTCGAGTGATATAACGAGCAACTCTGCTCGGATAATCGGGTACACCGTTGTAAAAAAATAAAATACAATTATACGTTTAAAACACCAAATACGTTTAAAACAAAAATAGTATATACAGGACAAAATACACTTATGTCCTGTATGTCAGGCCTCACCCTCATCACCCAGTTATTCTTATTGGGGGCCTGATGAGTCCAAAAAGAAGCCATCTCAGTACCCACAGAGTGGGACGAGTCCAAAAAAGTTTCATATTTGATTCTTATTAAAAACTAATTTTTTTTTTTTGCTTACAGTATTATATTACTGTATTTCCAATATTTTATTTGTCACATACAGTATATCATTTATTTCCTACTGAAAAATAAGTGAATTTAGTTATGATGAATGATATTAACTAAATTTTCCTTTTAACTTTGTTATCTAAATATTTCAATTTGGGCTCCAAGGGGGTGTGAAGCGCAATATAAGGCCACAACAAGAGCCAAATATTGGCCTAGTAAGCATAATAGAGAAAGGGGAAGTACAGCTGGCATTGAATAAAATGAAAAATGGGAAATCAGTGGGCCCGGATCAGATACCAATAGAGGTATGGAAAGTCCTAGGAGGGGAGGGAAGAGACTGGTTAACAGAGCTGTTTAACAAAATACTGTTAGAGGGAACTATACCCAATGAATGGAGAAGAAGCTATTTAGTACCCATCTTTAAAGAAAAAGGGTATGTGCAGGAATGTAATAATTATAGGGGGATAAAACTATTGGCTCACACAATGAAACTTTTTGAAAAGGTAATTGAACGGAGGATTAGAGAGGAAACTAGTGTCACTGAAGGCCAGTTTGGATTTATGCCTGGGAGGAGTACTACAGATGCCATATTCGTGGTGGGACAGCTGATGGAGAAGTACCGATCTGTGAGGAGAAACCTGCATATGGTGTTCATAGACTTGGAAAAAGCGTATGACAGAGTCCCAAGAGAAGTCCTTTGGTGGTGCCTTAGGAAGAAAGGTATGCCGCTTCAATACATTGTGACAATTGAAGATATGTACTATAGGGCCAGCACGCAAGTTAGAACTGCAGCCGGATTGACGGACATATTCGAAGTAAGAGTGGGTTTACATCAGGGGTCAGCACTCAGCCCATACCTCTTCCTATTAGTTATGGATGTGATAACATCTGCTTTACAAGAGGACGTACCCTGGTGTGTGCTGTTTGCAGATGACATAGTCCTCATTGATGAGGGCAGGGAAGAATTACAGAGACGGCTAAACAAATGGCAACACGTGCTGGAAAATGAGGGACTAAAAATCAGCCAAACCAAGATGGAGTATATATTCTGTAATTTTGACGGTCTCCCTGGTACTAAATGGAATACCATTGCCAGAAAGTACTGAATTCCGATATCTGGGATCTCTGCTCCAGAAAGATGGCAACATTGATAGGGAGGTTACTAGGAGGATCAATGCAGAGTGGTTAAAATGGAAACAGGTGACAGGAATAACTTGTGACAAACGCATGCCATTTAAAATAAGAGGGCTAATATATAAAACTGTCATCAGACCCGTGCTTATGTATGGGTGCGAGTGCTGGCCGATGACAGCCACCGAAGAGAAGCAATTGCATGTGGCAGAGATGCGAATGCTGAGGTGGATGTGCGGGGTCACAAGAATGGATAGGATTAGAAATGATTACATCAGAGGAAGTTTAAAGGTAGTATCTATCTCAGAAAAAATAAAAAGCCACAGACTGACATGGTTTGGACATGTGGTGAGAAGGAATGAGGAACATATAACAAAAAAGGCACTAAATATGAAAGTACAGGGAGATAGAAGTAGAGGAAGACCTAAGAAGAGATGGATTGAATGTGTAAAAACAGATATGCTGGAGTGTGGAGTGGATGAAGAAACAATTAGAGATAGACCAACGTGGCGTAAATTGACATTCTGGGCTGACCCCAAATAATCTGGGATATAGGCCAGGACGAAGAAGAAGATCTAAATATTTCAATTTGTTATTTATTTCAATAAGAATATTACATGTGAATTAAGAAAATTAATTTTATTTGTGTTAACAGCCTGCAAACCTGGATTTTTCGGAAGAGATTGTGGCCAACGGTGCTTCAATCAGAGAGACCAAACGACTAACTGTGCAGAAATCCTCTTCTGCTTACCAGATCCATATGGTTGTTCTTGTATCAGCGGTTTCACGTCTGTCTTTTGCAATGAATGTAAAGTTTTCAAAATTTTCAAATTACTATTTAAAGTTATAAAATTATATTGTCTAATGCTTGAAAATATTATCTTTCAGCGTGTGCTTCGGGATTCTATGGTGCAGGATGTACTCAGAAATGTTCTAATTGCAAAAATTCAAACGAATGCGAAGCGAAAACCGGCAAGTGTGCAGACGGGTGTGAAGAAGGATGGCATGGAACTCCTTGTGTGTTAAGTGAGTAAGACGTATTGAATATAGGTATATATCGAAAATTCAGTATTATTTTCGTGTGTATAATAATTTTTTACTCACGAGTGTATAAGGAGGCATTTTAACTTTGCTTTTACTATTCTTATTTCTTTCTTAATATAAGCGCTTTTACATTCTAATTTATTTTAAATCTTTATTAGTGGCTCATACATACACTATTATCAAGTGAATATAGTAATAGGCATTAAGATTTGCAAAAGATTAATTAATTAAGAGCGGTAAGATTATCTTAAGAAATAACAATATAAGACTGTTCAGTCTGGTCTCTAAACACTCATCAACGATATTTTCATATATTCTTAGTATTGCATTAGAAAAAATATATACGAACGAGCAATTATTTATTGTGACATCGTCACAATACAGGGCTGAAATTTTTCGTTACAATGCACTTAAGTTTAGAAGTGTCTTGCCCCTGTATGTTATACTTTTCCTGTTAACAATGAAGTCATGCGGGTCGTGTATCTAACTCCGTTCAGGAGAAACATTTAGAATTGAATGAAATAACGTGACTTTCGGCCAAAACTGGATGTTCGTATATAGTTAGCCTCTTTCCCTCAAGCTTTTCATATCTGGTTTTGACTTTCATCTATCTAATACCATTCTCGAGATTAAGGAAGGACAGGCAAACAACAATGGGAATTTATGTCTAAAATTTTATCAAATTTCAGCCCAATAACAATAAGATATACAAAACTTGAATATAGATAATTGATAAAATATTCATTATGTCTACATTCTTTTCTTCTATGTTTTTTTCATCATCTAATACAGGTAGGCCTCCTACAACGCGGTAGATACGTTCCTTGAAAATACCGCGTTGTGGGAAATCGCGTTATAGGAGACACCAACTTAATACAAAAACTGGGATTCGGTTCTAAAAAGAGAAAAACTTGGCGTTTGAATGGAGTTTTTTGAATTTTTCAAAGCAGCCATTGCTAGCCACGAATTTAACACTGGTTTCACCAGCTGAAGACTGTCCCATTTGTTTTAAATAATCAAATATTTTAAAGACTTTGTGTTTAAGTGCAGTTTTATTTAAAGACAACCGTTTCTTGTTCATATCTTCTACCCATAATATTACCGCTTGTTCCATTTTTTTCCATTATAGGTGCTCTCGGACGAGCAACATTTTTCGCAAGAATAGACGATCCGGATGCGACCAAATTTCTGATTTTTTCTTCCGACAGAATCGTCGACTCATTTAAATTAAAATGCCTACCGATATCAGCTATACGCTCTTGATTTTTAATTCGATCCAAAATTTCTATCTTTGTTTGAAGAGTTATAAATTTCCTTTATAACGAAGGTCCTTTCTTTTCATTCGGCATTGTTATGGCTAAAATTTTTTCAATCAGTTTTGTGGACAGTAAAAATCGCAAAAAATAACTTTTCTTCACTATGTTGTTAAAAATATACACCCAATAGAAGTTTATACTGTATTTTGGACCATTTTTGCTGTCCCCACTTATTGAAACAGTATAAATGATGGAAAATTTAGTGATATATTTGAGTGTTTACGGTAACTGATGCACATCTGTCTAGAAACCGGTCT